GGGTGAATCTGTGTGTTAAAGTCCTGTAGTGTTGTTTTTATGAATTTAGGTGCACCAGAGTTTGGTGCATATGTGTTAAAGATTATAATATCTTCTTGGCTAATTGTTCCTTTGATCAGAATGAAGTGACCCTCCTTATCTCTTCTGATTAGTTTTACTTTGAAGTCTATTTTGTCAGATATTAGAATTGCAATCCCTGCTTGTTTCTTAGCGCCATTTGTTCGGAATATTCTTTTCCATCCTTTTACCTTAAGGTGGTGCCTGTCCTTGAAGGTGAGATGCATTTCTTGCAGATAGCAAAGAGATGGATTTTGTTTCTTTTTTTAATATTTTTTTTTTTTTTCTGTATTGCCTGCGTGTATGTAGTGCACCCGTGTTGTGCAATGCCACAGAGGTCTGAAGAGGGCTTCGGATTCCCCTGGAACTGGGGTTAAGGATTGCAAGAGCAGCCAGTGCTCTTAACCACTGGGCCATCTCTCCAGCCCCAGATTTTATTTCTTAGTCCATTCATTTAGCCTTTGTCTTTTGACTGGGGAGTTCAGTCCATTGATATTTAAGGTTGTTATTGAAAGATGTGAATTGGTTGCCGTCATTTTGATTGCTGTTCGTGTTCTCTGTCTAATTTTGTGTTTCTTCAATTATACCTTTATTTTCTTTGGTTGCCCGTAGGGTATAGTTGTTTCTCTCTCCGCTCTCTGTATTGCTTCAAGTATTCTTTGAAGAGCTGGTTTTGTGGACATATATTCTCTCAGGCTATTCGTGTCATGGGAGATTTTTCTTTCCCCCTCAACTGTAATAGACATTTTTGCTGGGTAAAGTATTCTGGGCTGACATCTATTGTTATGTAGAACTGGAAATACCTTGGTCCAGGCTCTTCTGGCTTTCATAGTATGCATGTGACTTACTGTTTTTCTTTTGCTGCTTTCAGTATTCTCTCTTTGTTCTGTACATTTTAGTGTTTTTACAATGATATGTCGTGGGGAGTTTCTTTTCTGATCTTGTCTATGTGGTGTTCTGTGTGCTTCCTGTATTTGTATGGGAATGTCTTTCCTTAATTTCGGTAAATTCTCTTCTACAATCCTGTTTAATATCTGATCAATACCATTAACCTGAAATTCTTCTCCTTTCTCTATTTCTATGTAGATTTGGTCTTTTCATAGTGTCCCACGTCTCTTGCATATTCCATTCCTGTGTTTTTTTTAAATATTCCATAATCTTTGCTTGAGTGGTCCAGTTCTTCACCTTTATCCTTCAGTGTTGATATTGTTTTCCATTTCATTCACTCTTGCAGTGAGGCTTTCCCGATGTTTCAAGTTGGCTTATTGAGCTTTGCGCTTCCTTCTTCATTTCTGCCTGCTTTATCTTCAGTGTTTCTATCTCTTTTGTAAATTCATTCAGACATTTATCCCTGTCTTCTTTTAGCTCTTTGTGTGTTCTTTAAATTAGTTGAATCCCTTGATCATGTTTATAATTGTTCTTTTAAATTCAGTGTCCTGGGTTATCTCTAGAGGATTCTCCTTGTAGAACTCTGCTACAGGACTGGTGGAGTTTGGTGGGGACATAGTGTTTTGGCTTTCCATTTTTTTATTCTTCCGTTGTGATTTTGGCATGTGAATTTCTTTTGTTGTTTATGATTCTGATATGAGAATTAAGTTGAAGTTGCTTCTGTTTGTATTATCGGGGTGCCTTGGTTCTTTCCTTGTTGGTTATGTAAAGCTGGTTGGTACAGGTTTCAGGTTCTCAGATTTTATTTTGGAGGGAACTGATGGCTTCAGATCAGCTTTTCAGGAGTATGCACAGATGCCCAAGTCAGGTTCCAGTCAGGTACACTCAGGCTTCCTTCTAAGGTTTGGACCCCACCACATGGAGACAGGATCCAGGCACTCTCAGGCAGTCCCCTGCATTCTCAGCCCCTATGCCAGAGGGAGGCGAGAACCCAGTACTCTTTGGCGGTCTGCTGAGATCACAGCTGCTACACTGATGGAGGATCCTCTCAGCCTATTATTAATTATTAAAAAATAAATAAATAAAAACTAAAATATGAACCAAGCCTCAGAGCTGTAAAATGGTACCCACAGTCCCACAGTCTGACATAGTTGGGAGTTCAAGGGAAAGAAATGAGAGTGGGAAAAGTACTTGAAGAGGTAATAGCCAAAGTTTTCACAAAATGGTAGACAGTTAACAACTTTGAGATGTTCAGTTAACGCTTTATTAAAAAATAAATAAATAAAAACTAAAATATGAACCAAGCCTCAGAGCTGTAAAATGGTACCCACAGTCCCACAGTCTGACATAGTTGGGAGTTCAAGGGAAAGAAATGAGAGTGGGAAAAGTACTTGAAGAGGTAATAGCCAAAGTTTTCACAAAATGGTAGACAGTTAACAACTTTGAGATGTTCAGTTAACGCTAACCTAGATAAATAGAAGTCCTGGTTACATCATCACAGTCAAATTATTGAAAGTGAAAAATAAAGAGAAAATAGTGAACAAAGAAAAGTAACACGTTACACATGGGTCAGACAGCTATTTCGTTAGTGTATACTTTTCATCAAAACTAACTGAAAAGGGCTAGTAAGATGGATCACTGGGTAAAGGCACTTAACTACCTAGCCTTGACAACCTGAGTTTGAGCCTCAGGACCCACATGATAGAAGAGAACAGACTCCCACAAGTTGTCCTCTGACCTCCACCCACATACAGTGGCACATATGCACCCAAGTACACACATACACCCTCACAGCACAAATAAGATGCAATTTTGTTTAGAAATCTGAAAAAAAGAAAACAGAAAAAAATGCAGCAACACTTTGAGTTCTTAGTCATTCTCTGTCAAATGAGCATATCCTTTAAAAACAAATGTCAACTCAAGATAATTTCAGATGAAGGAAACACAAAGAAATGCATCAAAGATAACCTTGTCTTAAGTTGAAGCATGTGAATGTGATTCTTACAATTAATGAAGCATGAGAAATAAATGAGTCTGTGGTTTAAGGTCTCTATTTTTTATGTAGTAGTTCAACATTAAGCTCAAGTAGCCTATAGACAGTAAAAGATACAAATTGATCATCTCCAGGAACAACTGAAAGCAAAAAACAATACAGTGGTATATAGCCTGTTGTTGTTGTTTTGCTTTTGTTTTTTCAGACAGGGTCTCCCTGTAGCCCCAGCTGGCCTGGAATTCACTATGTAGCCATGGCTGGCCTCAATCTCACAGAGATCTGCCTGCCTCTGCCTCCCAACTTCAGGCTGAGGCAAGAGGAGCCTGAGCTCAAGGTCATATGTACATAGCAAGACCCTATCTCAACCAAGGCTAGGTCAGTAGCTCAAATTTAACCACATCAGTAATTACAGTAAGTACTAGAGATGTAAACAATCCTCCAAAACTGCATAGATTGTCAGAATGGCTAAAAAGCTAGATTTGACTATGTTTGCTATGTGATGGTCCTACAGTAGTTATGTAAAACCTTTGTCATTCTTCCCTGGGATAAATTTAGTGACTCACTTCTAAGGAACTATTGGCAGGAGGGATGGTAACTTGGCAAACCAGGTCAGAAAAGATGTGCTCCGTCTGCCTTGCTCTCCTCTCCTGGACTGCAGAGCTGATGAAGTCTTCAGCAGCCATATGGAGAACACCCACTGAGAGGACCTAAGGCTGGTACTCAACATGCAGCACTGGGACTAGCCATATGAATAAGCCACTTTTACAAAAGCAATCTCCTGCTAAACCTCAAAGTGACTCAACCCAGCCAACATCTTTGACTGCACCCTCATACATTCTACAAGCCCAAACCGTGCATCTAAACCATCCCAGGTTCTTGACCCACAGTAACTATGACATGGGTTTTGGAGTAATTTGAACATAGCAATAGATAGATACAGCATGCATCTACCAAGTCATACTTTAAATAAAAGATATAAACTGAAAAGCAAGGGTTGTAAAAAAAAAATACGTACCAAAAAAGAAATTGATAAAGTCTGCTGGTGGCAGAAGACTGACAACATGTATTTCACCAAAGACATTAAGTAGAATATGAATAAGTGATCACTAGTCATCAAGAAAATGCACATTGGAACCACATCTCAACTCCACTACGTGCATCATGAAGTGACAATGTAAGGATGTGGGCTACTGGGAATCTCGCCTGTTGGTGGGAATGTAGAATGCTACAGTCATCTTGGGAACAGTTTGACCATGTTGTCAGGAGGTAAATGCACATCTGCTCTGTGCTCCAGCCATTCTACTCCTAGATATTAACCAAGAGGAAAGAGAGTGTGTCTGTGTAGAGACTAGCACACAGGTTTCTGTAGCAACTTCGTAACAGCCAGAAAGTGGAGACCCAAATGTCCATCAGCAAGTGAATGAATAGGCAAAAGAGCATTTCCATACAGTGAGGCACTACTCAGCATCCAGGAGTGAACAACATGGATAGCTCTCAGAATAATTATGTGGAGGGAAAGAATCCAGTTCCCTTTTCCTCCAACCCCATATGTACGTGTTGTCTAAATCCACTGGTATGACTCTGATGTGTGGTACAAAAAAGCAGATCATTTCCTGGAGATGAGGGAGCTGTAGGGTGTCAGAGAGGGTGGTTGTCCAGCTCTTGCTGATGGTTTCATAGCAGAACATTAAACTCCATGATCCACAGTAATTAGCACAATTAGTAATCAGGCAAGCCACAAAGCTGAAAACATGCATACTGTGACCATCTTTAGGCATACAAATTTTTGCTATATGCAAATGAATATAGACATTTAAAAATAAAGTATTAGAAATCTCAAAAGTACCATTCAGCAACAGAAAGCAAGGAATGTGTGGCCGTAACTGAGTCACGTATTGTCAGATAGGTGACCTATTCAGCTGTGACATTTTGGGTAAATGGCTTCGGTTCTCAGGTGACTCAACCTTTTTCCACATTATCAAATGGTAGATGAGAAGTAGATGCAGTTCCTGGGGGCTGACTGCTAAATGCTGTGTGCCTAATTCATTCTCCTTTGCTGTAGATTTCCAATGTGCACAGTCAGCAGATGGATGACCTCTTCGATATCCTCATAAAGAGCGGAGGTAGGTCAAAAGATCACACCAGAGCCCACAGGAAGTGACCTCATCCTACAAGCCCATGATAGTTTTTTATAGAACTAGAGCTTATCTTTGATATTGAGAAACATCAGTTCTAACAATTGACAATTTTAAAAACCAGTACAATTTAGGACATTAAAACATATAATTGGGGACTAGAGAGACGGCTCAGAGGTTAAGAGTGCTTATTGCTCTTACATAGGACCTGAGTTCCATTCTGCACACCCAACAGCTCACAACTGCCTATAAGAACAGTCCCAAGGGATCTGATGTCCTCTTCTGGCCTCTGTAGGCACCCACACACTCAGACATACATACACATAAAAAAGAATAATATAACCATAGAAATGGAAGAAAAGCCTCTGATTCCACTTCAAACAATGACACAGTGTTAGATTACCCACAGTTGTGGGTCTGCAAAAAGGAAAGACCATCTCCAAACCACAAAGATGAGCCAGATCTAAACTCTGTCCTGAAAATTTCAAAATGTGTCCTGTGTATGTCAGCCACTGTCATAGGATGAGCACACTCCAGTCCTGTGACAACCCAGTTCCCTGGCTTGGGCTCCAGTTGCTCTATTAAATTCAGAGCACTTTGTACATGTAATAAGCTGTCAGGGCTGGTGAAATGGCTCAGTGGGTAACAGTGCTTGTTGCCAAGCCTGACAACCTAAGTTTGATTCCCCAGGACCCATGTGGCAGAATGAGAGAACTGACTCCCACAAGTTGTCCTCTGACCTATATACACAAATGTTGTGGCATGGATATACACACTGACAAATAAATACATTGTAATAATAATTGTCAGTTTACAATATGTTGTCTTAAAAAGGGATATTAAACACAAAAAAGTTTGCCTCAGCTTACATATCTTTAAAAGTTTTTTAAGTACTCTGATGAAATGAATCTTACATGAAGTTTTAAGTCATAATCAAAATTTCTCCATCTGTGAGCAGATACTATTGGACATGAAGGTTGATGTTCTGGTCAGAGCTTTCGGCACAGTGGAGAATTTCTGATCTTTGCATGTAGATCTGCATGTGCAAGTGGCAGTTGTTTTGCTGAGAACTATATTGGCCTTACAAAGTCTTTTAAATTCGTGGTTAATCTAAGCTATGAAAATTTTAGGGTTAAAAAAAATAAAATATGTATTTTATAGATCAGGTCATACAATGTTGCTAGATCTGGTAAATATATTTATTAATCATTGAAAGAATTCATAAGGATAATTTTATATCCAAAACTTGGAACTTAAAATGTGACAGAGTCAAACAAATGGATTATTTTCTAAGAGTTGGTTTTTCTTATTAAAGTATCCAATAACTACATCTTAATGCTAAGCACTAAGACTTGAAAGGTGATTATAATTCACTTAGACAGTACTTAAAGCATTCAGAAACTCTAGAGATGACAACAGGTAATGAACGGTAACACATGTTCACAGGGTTGTAGTCCGTCTGTAGAATCATATTTTAAGGTTTTCTCTTACTTACGTATACCAGTCATTGAACTTTAAGAACCATTGTACAGGGCTAGGGAGATGGTTTAGTGGTTAAGAATACTGACTATTCTTGCAGAAGACCCAGGTTTGAATCCCAGCACCCACATGGCAGCTAACAACTGTCCCATAACTCCAGATCTGATAGCTTCTTCTGTCCTCCAGAGGCACTGCACAACACAGGTGCACTTACATACATGCACACAATGCGTGCATGCACATAAAATAAAAATAATATTTTTTTAAAAAAGAACCATTGTGTCAGGCATGGTGGCACACGCCTTTAATCCCAGAACTCGGGAGGCAGAGGCAGGCGGATCTCTGTGAGTTCAAGGCCAGCCTGGTCTACATGGTTGAGTTCCAGGACAGCTGGGGCTACAGGGAGACCCTGTCTCAAAAAGACCAAAAAAAAAAGAAACCATTGTTCATTAAATTTTTGCCGTAGTGTTATCTACAGAAAATGTGAAAAAGAGCCAGGTGTGGTGGGGCATGCCTTCTTTAATCCCAGCACTTGGGCAGAAGAGGTAGGACTGCTTTACAAGACAAGCTCCAAGCCAGCTTCAGCTACATAGTGAGATTCTGATGCACAAGCAAATCAGAGTTGGAGAGAGAGATTATTAAAATGCATACATAAAGTAAACCCTGGTGTATGCATAACAGAGGGTCTATTAATTTGCCCATTGACCTGGCAAGGAATGAGGACATCATTGGCAGCTGGGGAGATTGCTCAGTCAGTAAAGGACTTGCCATGTAGGAATCAGGACCTGAATTTGTTCCTCAGAAACCAAAACACAAGAAGCCAGACACTGTATCATATGCCTGTAATCCCGGTGTTGGAGAGGTAGGGACAGGTAGGTCCCCAGGGCTTGCTGGCCAGCCACTGGAGCTGAACAGTTGAGCTCCAGGTTCAGTTCCCATCCAGTGCCCTCTTCTGGCCTCTGGGCACACATGAACACTCACACATACACATAAAGTATTTTTTAGTAAGAAAGCAAGATAGTTGGTGTTTATTAAGCCAGCCCTCTAAAGTTTATATAACTCAGAAAGAAACACCAAAAAGTCAAAGACGTGAGCAGCTGGCCTACCTCATCTTAAGAAGTCAAAGGAGCCAGTGTCAGCTTTGAGTCAGAAATAGGTGTATTGTGTCTTTTTAGAACTTTCTATAGAGTGTGTATGGCTAAACTGGGGTACAGTTCAACTATAATGACTTTATTAAAAGAAAAGAATTGGATGGAATGTTCAGTTTCTAGTTCTAAGCTGGATGCAAGAAAGAATGATTGAATAGTGAGCTACTGAGCAACTCATGAGACGCTTGATCGTAGTAAACCTTTACTAATTACATCAGTTCTTTTGCACAGAGATCTCCCTCCCTATAAAAGAAGAGCCTTCTCCAATTTCTAAGATGAGACCAGTGACAGCCAGCATTACCACAATGCCAGTCAACACAGTGGTATCTCGGCCACCGCCCCAGGTCCAAATGGCACCGCCTATATCCTTAGAACCTATGAGCAGTTTATCTGCCAGCTTAGAGAACCAACTAGAAGCCTTCTTGGATGGAACTTTACCCTCAGCTAATGACATTGCCCCACTGCAGAGCAACAGCGAGGACAGAGAGCCTTTCTCTCTGATGGAGGACCTCCAGAATGACCTGCTGAGTCACTCCAGTGTGCTGGACCACTCTCACTCCCCCATGGAGACCTCCGAGGCCCAGTTTGTGGTAGGGACACCCTGTCTGTCTCTCGACCTATCAGACTCCACCCTGGACAACATGGAATGGCTGGACATCACCATGCCGACCTCGTCCTCGGGGCTCACCCCTCTCAGCGCCACTGCACCAAGCATGTTCTCTGCTGACTTTCTGGACCCACAGGACCTGCCACTTCCATGGGACTAAGGTCATTTATCTAAGAGCTCCTGAGGTTTCAGAACATGAAAACAATTCTGAAAGGTCAGTTTTTAGAGTTAGAGCCATAGTTGCACTGATGCAATTAAATATGTTGTCACAGGAAAAAAAAAATGGAAGGTCATTGCTTGGAAACCACATGTGAGAGCTCATCTCTGCATCTAGCAATGATTTCCACAATTTAACACAGCACAGGGCTGTAGTGTGCAAGAGGCCATGTGTTTCTTCAGATGTGAGTGAAGATGAAATGCTTTTAGACGAAACAGACACAGGTTGTGGCAATAGGGCTCTTAGGTCATCAGCTACATTTAAACCTGTGTGGTCGCCTCAAAGCCCTAATAAGAGGCAGGCAACTCCACCTGAAACACAGGCCACCACAGGGGGCGGGAGAGGCCACTGCACATGTACTCCCTAGGACGGCCTAAGCCAGGCCAAGACCCAGCAGGCTCAAACCAGCCAAGCATGCTAGCCAGTGAGCAGCAGCTTCTAGCCAGAGACTTTGAGTTCCATTCAGAAACCTATGTAGTTTTTTGTGTGTATGTCATAGGTAATTTTGTGAGTTTTGGAATCTAAATGGACAATCTTTCATTATAAACAGAAATCTACAGAATACTGTCACACAACAGTTCAGTGTACAAAGTTCAGGTATATTGATAATGCTGAGGATTCTCCCAGGGGCCCTTGGGGTTGATGAGGTTGGTTCTCATGTGTATATTGAACATCTGTGTGTGCTCTGACCTTCTGATCTGTACAACCTACATGAAGGCTGGATATCCACTGGTCCTACTTCTTACAGTAACTCGTATTTCTAGAGCACTTGAGCCACACGTATTTCCATATTTCAAGAGTTGCTAACTTTCAGGTAACCAAATCCATCTCAGAGCCAAGAAAATGGCTTTAGCATGAAATACTTTTCCAAGCTGGTGATTTAGGGGCATGGAAGGTGTGGAGATGTCTATCACAACCCTAGGACACTCCCACCCTAAGCATAGGTTAGACCGTCATTATCGTATACCCCCCCCACACCCAGTGACTGATCCCTGGTTCTCATTTCATAGGCTTGTAACTGGATGCCCTGTCCAAGCTCTCACTGTCTTCAAGCCTAAGATTTAAAACTGGAGGTCTTATTCCTTTTTTCTTTTTATATACATGGGGGGCATTGTTTGTCAAGTAGTTTCTTAAGAATTTTCTAGAATGCCAGCTAGCACAAGAGTTCCACAATTCTTGATCTGGTCATTTAATTATTAGTAAATTATAAATAATTGACCAGAGTGCAAGATTTTTATTAAATAACCTTGTCTTGCCCAGCTCCATTTGAACCTGGGCCAAGTGGGCTCCCCATGTCAGTACACGTGATTGTTCCACAGTGGCATGCAGGAGGCAGCCCGACCCATCATCTGCAGAGTCTGATTCTCACTTCTGGGCCGTTTTTTCCCAGAAGTGATATCTTTAAGTTTTACTTGTTTATAGATCTCAGTCCATGTCAGGACAGCACCTGCTGCTGCCATTAGCATACATTGGCCCTTTGTAATGGCACTGCCTCACTGGAAGCCTGACATGCTGGCCTCCAGGCACCACTGAGCTCAAGGGTAAGCATTGTTGGGAGACAAGAACTGTTAGCGAGACACCACCCTCTGACCAAGCCTACCAGGAGCATCCTCATGATGGACCCGTCAGTTCTACTGACAGCCCAGCTGTATGCCTGGGAAGTGGTTCCCTACGGGAGTTTCAGCTCTGGGTTTTGATGGAGGACTTAGTCCTCTCCTTTCAGATTTGAATGACCAGTTAAATGGGCCCCAGGTATCAGACCTGTAGGAGGCACCTCAACACTTAGTGCTGTCAGCTTCTGTAGGGAAACATCCTTTCTCTACAGTCCCACTTTGTGGGCATAGATTGCTTTCCAGCCCTCAGGTCCCCTTCATTCCTTTTTAAATTTTGAAGCCTGTCACAGGGTTGCTCTCCAAGCACACAGTGGCCGTCTCAGTTGCCTGCTCATGTGTCCATCCCTCTGTGCCTCCGGGACTCAGTCCCTCGGGGTCTCATTTCTGGAAGGCAGGAGGCCTCCGGCTGTCACTTGGCCAGCAGCCATCCCACCTGTAGCATTCCTTGCCCTCTCTGGGCTTTAGCAGCCAGCCGGCACCCCTGACACCTGTGACATGAGGGCTGCTTGCTGGGTCTCTTCCATGTATTCTGAGTGGACATCTTTCCCATGTGCTCACATGGGTCATGACCAAAAACCATTCTGTGAACAAGGCCCTTACCTAACTCTGTCCCTCTTTTTTACTTAGTTTCTGGCTGGCAAAATGACTCAGCAGGTAGGGACACTTGCTGCCAAGTCTGATGACCTGAGTTTGATCCCCAGCACCCACATAGTGGAAGAAGAGAAACACTTTCCTACAAGTTGTCCTCTGACCTCCACACATGTGCTCTGGCATGCATACCCATGAACATGGACACATATAACACAAGCATACCCATGAACATGGACACATATAACACAAATATAAAGTTAGTTTCACAGGCATTAAAGCACAGGCCAGTCTGCCATTTAAACTTTTAGTGTGCACATACAGATGTAGTTTAGACTTCTGTTTGTACCATATTGCCAAGAAAATCACTCATAGAGACACGTCACCCCCCAGGCTCATCTCCCTGCATGGTCTCCAAGCGCAGTAATGTTGACCTTACTTTCTGCTGTACATAAGTTTCAGGTCATCTTATTGGGGGTGGAATGAGTGATAGTTACACTACAGCCTCTAGAAAGCCTGACTCTGAATGTGGGGGCTTCCTGTACATTTCAGAGGCATCACTAGGAAGCCTCTCGGGACAGTGTCTGTCAGTCAGTGGCCGCTTGACCTGAGATGTGCTCTGCGCAGGATCACACTGCGTTTGCATGGATGCTCTGAATTTGTGGAATCTTGGGCTCACATACTATCTGTTTCATGAGAATTTTGGTTTGGTTCGGTTTTGGTTTTTGAGACAGGATCTCCCTGTAGCCCCAGCTTACCTGGAACTCACTATGTAGACCAGGCTGGCCTCAGTCTCACAGAGATCCATCTTGCCTCTGCCTCCTGAGTGCTGGGATTAAAAGCATGTGCCACCGTGCCTGGGCATGAGAATATTTTTTAATACTAGGAGACCTTATTTCAATTTCACATGGTTCGCTAACCACATGACATGCCCTTGGTAGTGTGAGCACTGCCAAGGAGCCAGGTCTACTCTTGGGTGGCCAGCCAGGGTGTGCTCTGCCGCAAGCTGCTACCAGTGGAGGGAGAATCAGGAAAACAGGGTAGTGCCACCAGCCTGCACGGTCAGCAGATGCTGAGGGCAGCAGGAGCAGTGCCCATTTTGTCACCAGGGTGGACTTAGGCTTCCTGAGCCCTTGATCATTCTAGTAGCATGGCTGTCTCCACAGTCCTTTCAGAATTCCCAGACATCACAGCAAAGGAGGCAGCCATCCCACAAAGTGACAGGATAGTCCCTTCACTGTCCTCAGACAGACTTGGCCTCAGGGAAGCAGTAGCGCACTTTGGCAGGGTTGGATCTACTTGAGAGGAGTCCCTATTGATCCACACCCTCAGCCTTTCCACAATGGCCAGGGTCCAGAGCACTTGCTGCTGGGAGGCTGGGGACGTGGGGTACCACTGGGACTGCAGAGAAAGCTGAGGAGAATGCTTTTGGATTCAGCCGGCAGAGCATCAGGTCAGAGTAAGTACAGGCAGATGGCCTGCTCTCTCCTGCCCATCACTCCACGCAGAACATGGAGAACTGGCATCAGAATCCCAGAAACAAAGGGGCCCACTGCCCAGAGGACAGGTAACCGCAGGTGGTCCAAGCACACTAACTGGAAGTCAAGCATATCAACGAACACAGCTCATGTGTGCATGAAGTGTATTTGGAAAGCATCCTAAAATTTCTGCTGGTCTTGAGTGATTTCAGTCAAAACTGGAAAATAGCAGTTCGGGTGTAGTCATTTTTGTTCCCTGGTTCAAACCTTCAATCATGTGTTCATTCAGCAACATCTCGTGGGGCTCCACTTTTATTTGTAAAGTGACTGCTGCATGACAATAAGCAAGTCCACGCTTTTCCCCTCTCACTTTTCTCAAAGTATCTAAGGAGACGCATCCTAGCAGCATGTCTACCTGAAATCTTTAAGGCCTGTAATTCAAAGAAGCTGCACATGTTTACAGAAGAGCGTTTACCCTCCACGCATGGGCCCACTGCTCTGGGAAGTGTGAGTGGAAATGTCATGGGCTTGTGACAGCAAGATGGCAATCTCAGATCTAGGTGCTGCCTGGAATCCAGTAAGGCGTGTCACTGGAGATGTCGACACAGTGTCAGTGTGAAACTGAGCTTATGCCAACTCCCAAGACAAAGCTTTAACCAAGTGGATAGAATCTCCAGAACTGGTCCCAGTTACCTCTACATTCTGCTGTGAGGAACCTCGCTCACTGACAGGAAGATGAAGTGTTTAGGAAAGGGTTTGGTATCTACCAAAAGTACTTGACCTCAAGTAACCAATAGTAATGCAAAGTGCTTTAAAGGAACCAAAGGCATCGCCAAGTTTTTGCCAAAAGCAGGCACTTTTTATTTAAAATTTGAGACTAACAAGATCTCAAAAGTCAGTCCCAAAAAGGTATTATCCATTTAAGGTTGTAATTTTCACAGGGATGTAGATAATTACTCTATTGTTTTCATGTAAAATAGTATAGAGCTGTTTTGTTGGTTCAAGAATAATACATACTCAGCAGTAAAGCAAAGTTGGTTTTTTCTTTCTGTATAGAGATTAGCTCTCTCCTCTCGCTTGCAATGGACATGCAGCGTGTCAGGTGTTTCTCTCTTCGTCACATAATGTCTTAGCATCTCACCGTATGAAAAAGAAAAAGACTCCTGTTGACAGAGCCCTGCTTGTTGAAGCACTAGTTAATATACAGGAAGTTGTGGCAATCGGGGGTCCATTCATGTGTTGCCTTTATGTTGTTTTATAAAAGAAAAACCATGATGCCTTTGTACCTGCTGTTTGCACCCCTGAACTCAATTCCGTACCGTGTCTGAATGCCATATGTTTGCACATGTACTGTACATAGGCGATGCATACTGTAT